GAGCCAGGTGTAGCTACTCACACCGAGATGAAGTGATTCCTGACACAAATCACTACACTGCACCTCACTGCCACTCCAATACAGGCCACTGAACCATGCAGCTTTCCATAATGCTTCCTCCTGGCAATGAAGCAACCACAACCTGATAAGCAGGTGCTTGCAGTAGCCCTATTCCACCCAGTGTAGTGAAGCAGAGATGTGGCAAGAGTGAAATCCTCAAATTATAGGATTTACTTGCAGAGGTGGGAAAAAACCTGCTCAGAATTTCATGTATTATTCACATTGTTTTTGCACCCTATTGCAGCTGCAGTTTAGCATATAAAACGTCACAACAAGAACCTGATATATGCAACTGCTTCACAGCAAAGTCCTGCTTTGTGAGCCTAAGATGAGAACCCTGGGAACTGGCTACAAGCTTGGCCAAAGTTCACATGTCTCTGGTGGTCTGCACCTGAAGTCAATCAGATTAAATGCCTTGCTCAAGCAAGTCCCTTCCTCTAACAGTAAGGAATAAAGTGCCATGTCTACGTGCAAAGTTTTAATTGTCCAAAATGTATGATGCCATCAACTCAAAGACAACAAAGAAGTCCTTCACTGGTGGCTGGTCACTACTGAACTTCCCCATGATATAGCAGCATTTATGATTGGTCTCTGGGCTGCAGGAACAACCAGCTGCTGAATGAAGTCTCTCTGAAGCAGTCGTGACTTACCACCTCATCTGAAAGAGATTAGAAATTGGTTTTGATACAAAACACCCTTTCCACTTGTGCAGGATAGGTCAGTCCATAGACAGGATCTTCTTTCTACAGCTGTGATGTTTCTGAAGAGAAACCTATGAGTGAACTCCCAGTGTTTCCCTTGCATCTTGCAAATACTACAGTTTTGGTAAAGATTTCTACCTGCTAAAATAGTGACAAAAGCTTAATCCTTAATAACTTAAATTTTCTCTATTCTCTGCTCTGCATATCGTGGCTAAGGCATGGGTAGCTTCTCCTTAGGAGGCATAAGTATTAGAGGAGACTGTAATTACTCCCTGCTGATTATCTTTGGGTATTAATTCTGTCCCATCCCACAGCACTGGTCAAAGACATGTATCACACTTCAGAAGGCTAAGGCAGGCCCCAGGAGTGGAGTTATGTGTAGACAAAGTGAGAAAAGTTCCCTCCATGTCCCTTAGCTTCGCTGCAGAGGAGCGCTGAGCTGGGCATGCAGTTCAGTTCTAGGGAAGAGGCTGATAATACTTGCTTCATAGCCTGTTTTCTTGCTTTCTCCTCGAGTCAGGACAATCCAGCAGCTTCCACACAAGCAGTCACAAAGAAGAGCTGCACCGTGGAAGCCACATCTGAGGTTCTTGGCTGCTGTGCAGCAGTCAAAAGCCGCAGGCTGACCACCTCCATGACACCAAGGGTGAACCTACCTCGGGCAACCGGACCGGCAGCACTGACCGACAGCCCCCGGTCACAGGATTCTTCCCTACATTTACATTTGGATTTCCAGACTCCTCCAAGATTAAAGGGAAACAAGAGCTGAGTGGTAGGTCACATGGTGTGGGAAAAGCAGAACCACCTTCACAACCAAGAAGTACAGCTTTTAGTTCTGTGGGACAGATCACACAGGCTAGAAGCACTTACCACAGCCTATAACCATGCAGATGGTTGACCTTAGAGGAGAGCATTTAGTAACAAGAGCTCCACACACAAAGTTTACTTTCTACAGTGAAGGGTTTGGTGCAACAAAAAAGTTGCAGAATCCTCCCTGAAACAGTTGGTTTTAAGAGAAGTTGAAGCTTTCACCAAGTCACAAAGTCACCAGATCTTCCTCTCTAAGAGGTTTACTTGCTTGCAAGTCTTCTTGTGTACTTTTTATCCCCTGAAATGGAAAGCAAAAGCTTTCTCCCACAAGCATCCTATTTCCAGTGATACTTCATGGCATTTGGTCCTTTCCTGGTGGGTTAGCATCTGTGCCACTTCTTGGTACCCGAGGTGGTGGCAAAGGCAGCAGAAGGAGCACCTACCTGTCCTCTCACTGCACTCTGCTGCCTTCAGAAAGCCACCTAAAGAAACCATGTGAAACCCCTTCAGAATTCAGAGGTAGCATTTTGTTTCCTGGGCTTTTGGCACAATGGTCAGAAAGATAAGGAAGTCTTGGATTCTGCCTCTGCCAAATGTTACGTAAAGCAAGTTTTATATCATGGCTTCAGTATCTTGCCATAGTTCTTGTTTACAAAGTGGTTTAATTCTCTTTAGTTCTCAATTAGGTCTCAACCACTCACATGTGACTTGGAAATGAAAGCCCTGCCTTAAGAAAAACCCTAAAACACCTCACCCCTCTCTGTAAAATAGAATGAAAGCCTGAAAGAGCTCAAGAGCACATCTATAATCCTTCCTGAAGCCTCCACTTTCCCATACGTTTTACTGAATCACTACAAAGTACACGTGTACAATTTGATTAAAGGAATTAAAGCATGTCAAAAATCAGAGAGAATTAGGCCAAAGAAACCAACCACAACATTCCCACAGCTTTCCTACGCTTGATAACACTTGTCTCTGACTGGCTTTGTAATGTAGGTGAAACTCAGCCAGTCAGCACTGCAAAACCAAACCCAAATCCTGGCATTACTGCTGATGCTGCACAGCGAGAGGGAGATGCACTGCTGGTACAACACATGCGCAGAGCTCACATCACTTTCAGACTCACTTCAATCCACAGTTTGGCAATTCCTTTGGCTTTACTTAAGACAACTAGTTACCTTGGCTGAGTTCCACCTATGTTACAATACTGCAAAGTGAGACTTCAGCAGCATCTTCAAGAAAAGCCGATTAGGAACAAACTTGACTTACACACACACTAGAACCAGCAAATTCTTCCCCTGTCCCCTTACAGGGTGCAAGGTGGTCCTGCCACTGAACTCACTGTTGTGCCCTCACAGGAAGCCTCCCTGCCCAGTCTCCTGCAGCTCTTCTCTCAGTATCATAGCTATGTCTACTTAAATCTTTACTTTGTTAACTGATGTGGCAATTCAGATTAACCCCTCAGAACCCAGGTGACTCGGAGGCACCGCATTTTCCTTTCAGCTTCATCTGCTACTGGTTACAAAGCAAACTAAGATTTGCAGAACACAAGCAAGAAGAAACATGGCTCTGGGGGTGGAGCCTCAGATCCTAGGACAGGATTTAAAGCCATTTTCAGTAGCTTTCCTTCCAAATCCTCTTGAAAAGCTCTCCTGCCACCTTCCCACAACACGATTTGATACCAGGCTGAGAAAAGGAACATTCCCTTTCTCAGCTGCCTGCAATTTGCTTTTTGTATGACCTGACTGCTGCCATCAGCAGTTTAAACAGCTTCAGAAAAGGTCAAAGTGCTTAAAACCCACTACCTAATTCATCCACTTGCAGGCTTGTTCATTCCCTTTTGATATCAAAAAGCAAAACCCTGATGGCTCTATCCCTCTAAATCAAAGTACCGTGGATGATTACGGAACAAACTGATCATCAGCACAGGAGACATCACCACATTAGAACTCAAATGCCTGCAAAACTGTTGCAGAGAGATGCATGATGATTGCAATAAATGAAGAGAAATTGCAATGTACATTTGTGATCCCCTCACCATGCCTGATTAAACCAGAGGGTGGCCTGTTTTGGGAGGAAGGTGTTGGAGCAGATGACTGTTGGAGGCCTGACCTAAACAATTCTGTGATTCTATACTCAGGATGTGACAAACAGACTGAGTGCTCCAAACATCCTTAAACATGTTTCTGGGCAGCTGTGAATGCCCCAGTTTTTATTCTTATCTGCTATGTTAAGTGAAATAGAGAATCGTCACAAGAACACAGTCACTCTTTTCCTGAGGGGGTAGTGGTGACAACTCACTACTAAAGAGTTCTCTGCTGGCTTATGCCTGCTACCCCCCAAGATCTGCCTGACCCTACAGCAAAACACCAGAGCAATGACCAGAAAAGTTTCCAAAAATACCCTGCTATGTAGCTAGCTGTGAATGAGTTACAGTAAACACTACAGCATGAGATACAACTCAACAGCATCCTTTAACCACACATTTTGGTAGATCTGCTAAGGTACAGATTGTAAAGTATTCAGCAGAAAATCCTTCTGTTTGAAAGGATGCACAAAGGGATCAAGGGAGCCTGTCACCAAAGCTCTACTTACGGATGTGGTTTCATTTCTATGTAGTTCTTGGGAATGAAGCCATCTTTTCCATTGAGTTCTGCCTTGTACCAGTTCTGATCACATTCTTCATTCAAAACCTGAAGGAAGCAACCAAAAAATAAGCTTAGCACCCTTCAAAATACAGCAGAATTGGTGAAGGTACTCGCTGCTTCTTCCCATTCTTGTTTCCAAGACTGCTCTTGTAAGATGAACCTGTAAGAAATGGTGCTAGTCATCCTGCTCTGCTGCACCTCATGAGTGTTCAGAACGGTGGTGAACAAAAGCCAAAGGACTCTAGTGCCAACCCCCCATACTTTAGTACTCTTAAGTCCACAGGGACTTTTAACAACATAATCTTAGAACACATCTATCAAGTGTGCTGTTGTCATCAAAAAATTCTGTCCACGAGCTGCAAGCCAAGAAATACTGATTCTTTGTCTCTTCTAATAACCACTTTTTCCTGGGTTCAGCTGACAAACCTGATGTTTTCAGCATGAACATGATGCCATCCAGCCTTTCTGCATTTACACTGGTTGCACATGGGGTATGTTAAAGGTTCTAGGCAGCACCTATAGAGAATTCTACAAACCACTCCCTCTTGACAACATTAGTCCAGGTACAGGTACAACTGGCAGCTTTGGCTGGTTTTGCTGATACAAGTTAAACTCAGGTTAAATCAGCAGAAACAGTGACCTGCCCTGTTGTGCACTTTTTATGTTAATAAGACAAGTTAAACACACAAACAGCAAATGTACATGGACAAAGTTTCTTTTTTTAAGGGATACTTTCCTTACTCTGACTTTATCCTAAATGAATGAAAGCTCAAGAGTCACAAGAGAGGAGCCACATGAATAGGTGCTTTACAACACACACATTGGTACTTCAAAGCATACTTGCTCTTAAAACTTCAGTGCTTTATTTTCCACTGAATTTCTGTCAACTGGTAGAGTGCAATAGGGAAGGCTGGTGTGCTGCCTGAAAGCAGTCTCTTTCGTAGTGTTATGTGCTGGAAATGAAGCCATGCTATAGCTTGAAACTGCCTTTCCTCAAACACATTTTATTTGGTGTTGGAAGCAAACACTGCACAGAACCTGCCCCCGCCCTTTAAAATGAAGCACCACAACAGCACTTTTCCCAAAGCACTTTCATTCCAGAGGTTCTATTTTAGCTTTGGGACAATAGCAAACAAAAAGCTGGATCTGAGCTTTGGTTTATTTACTTAAAGCTTCAAGTCACAGAAGTATCACATGAGCAGCACTGCCTGGATGCGGGAAGGCGAGGAAATGCAAAGAGAAAGACAATGTCAGCACACATCCAGAGATCAAGGCTACTTACACACATAGATACAGTGAAGACACCAACCAAAACCACACCAAAATACTCTTTTGCTATCTCACTCTTTCTTTTGGAAGGGTGATGAGAGGAAATAAAAGAACATAAAAGCAGAGAGGAAATGGCAAGTACAGGCTTTAAAATTCTTACAGCTGAGGGGAGTGCTTTAGAAAATTCAACTCTAAAGATCAATGTTTGCTGCCCTTCAAACACACGTGACAGCTCAACACCCTCATCTGCCTCATTGCTCACTGCTACACAGAAAAGAGAAAAACCTCAACACCTACCGAGACGAAATCTGGCAAAGCAAAGAGAAAACACAATCTGAACTGCTCAGGGAGTTGTGGTGGGTAATAGTTACCTGGCTGTTCCTTAACTCCCAACTGACGATGTGCATCCCCTGGGTGCCAACGTTTCCAGTGCAGACCTGGCACAGGAGCAGGGCCACATCTACACAACTTTAGGTGAGCAAAGACATGCACCTTTACAGCCCATTTCATAATACTTTAGTTGAAGAGACTTTAACACTTAGAAGACCCTAAGTACTTTGGGCTTCCATTTATTTATTTACAAGCAGTTTCAGCAGGCATTACAGTTCAGTCATTTAGTAAGGATAACGTGAGCACAGGTTCAAGTGTGGCTCTGTTACAGGCTCGGAGGTAAAGCTGACGCAGATCCAGACGTAAGCAAGCAGTGCACATCTCTTATAACCACCACACTGACTGCAAGGCAGCACTCTGTGCACAAACAGATTTGACTCCAGAATACAAAATACAGGTAGATGACACCAGAAGGCAGCTGTGGGATACTGAGCAGGGAAGGTGGAGATTAAAATGACCAGGAAGCTTGGTTGTTACATACCTCAGCTGCCATCACGAGCGTCATTTACAATGCAACAGAACACAAACATGACACGTAGTGATGTGATTTCTAACAGGGCAGATTTCACGCAATAGTGTGTGTTCCTTTATCAAGGATAGCACAGATCAAACCTTTGATAAGACTGTGTCCTCCAGACTTGTTTCATTACCACCAGAGAGCAGTTAAGGGATATGGCAGCCTGTTCTTTTTCCAAGAACAGAATAAAAAGGGCGAACTGTAGCTTTGTGTGAAGGACACCACTGTGGATCTGTGTGTTTAATACGTGCTGCGTTTGGCAAGGGGCATTAAAAATTATCAGAGATCCTAATGCCCAAATGTAAATTATTTTAATGAGTTTTATCTTGCTCTGAAGATATGCTAATAGGTGTGGAGGAGCCAAATCACACAGGGCTTGGGGTACTCATCAATGCAGGGCCTGAAGCCAAATGCCTGCGAGGGAGCATTTGCTGAAGCACACATGAAGCTTTGTGACCATCAGAAACTGCTGGTTAAAAGGTAGAGTAAGGTGAACTGCCTCCACAGCTGCATGTACAACCTGTTCAGGGGACTTCTGCTGTAATAATGAATCCACAGCTCCCCCCTTCAGTTGCTTTGTTTGCTCCAAGGGCTTTTTCCTGCTTCACAGCCAGGTTGATGGATCTTCAGCACTGGTTGTCCTTTCTAGGATCATTTTAACTACCTGTCACAGCTCCATTCACACCCCAGCACACAGCCAAACTCCCCATGCCCTATATATATATACCAGAGAGCTTATACACACACAGAGCCGCCCTATAAACACCCCTTTCTTTCCTCTTTCCAGCTCTTGCAGTGTGCTCTCCTCCAGAGGCAACAGAACATGCTGTTTACTGTACAAAGCTCCATGTTCATGTATCATGAGAGGACTCATCTCCACAACACAGACAGCTACAAAATCATTGTTTTCTGACAGTGTCTCAAACAGACACTGCTGGAGCTGTTCCCAATGCTCAGTCAAGCAAAAATGATTGTACTGAAGTACCTTAAATTCAGGACAATTTGGCAGCCACGTGCATGAGGCTGGAATTCAGGTGCTGCTATGAAGTGATGTGGCTGTTATTATGACAACTGCAGAATAGTTATGTAAAATTACAGCTTTCAAGAAAGCAACGTATGCCACTAACATCCCGTAGTGAAATGCAACTAAAAAGCAACTCAGGAGCACATTAACTCTCTGCACTGGTGTATCCATTTACATTTACATCTGACATTGCTCTTTTAAACTGTAAACCCACTAAAGTGAAAGAACTGACTTTAAGTAATTAAACCATTTGGCTGCAAAACACTTAAGGAAAAGCAGCCAGTAAATCCCTCTATCCCATAGCTCCAACTGGCCTCCAGCAATTTCCAGATAGGAAGAATGTATCATCTGGATCCTTAATAAACAGTGCTGTGCCTCTAAGGAAAAGAAAGGTTCTTACCTGAGCTATGGTTAAGATTTTCCCAGACTTCTATTCCCAAGCTATAAAACTTAGTCCAGGCGCTGCCTGTATCACTGTGTTTTGCTTTGAAAACTTCCCCAAACAAATAAATACCAAGAAGTAAAGCAACAAAAAGTAAAGATTCAGTGCTCCAAAGGGAGACACAGCCCTCAGGGTCTGCACAGAAGTCTAAAGGCATAAACACTTACTTCTCTCAACTGCTAAAAGCTGCTGCTGTTTGTATAGGTCACAACATAAAGCATCCCTTTGCGGCCAACCCCCCTGTCTGCTCTAGATCTAAGCAAGTCTATGCCAGAGCGACTCTTCCTTTCACACTGGGGCATCTGTGCCGAAGAGGAGGAAGAAGGAAGGCTATTTTTAGCCACTACATTTGAACACATAGTGCCATGTGATGTCCTCAGCCTGCAGTGAGCCCTGTGTCACTGTAATAGCGGCTCGACTGCTGCCCATCAGTTTCCTAGTTTGATAATAGATCTCTTATCAACAAAAGCCCATCTGTTCCCATGCAGATGAGAAGAGGCACTGCTCAAGAGGCACACAAGGCAGCTCTCCCAAGTTCTAGCTACACAGCAAGCATTCCCAGCCATTCCTAATCCCATACCCAGTGAGTGTGTCTAAGCACAGCCTTTCCACCCTGGTGAACTGTTGCACACCAGTCTTGATCCTCTCAAAAGCGAACAACTTTCAGGAACATGCAGGCACTAAACCAGAACGTAACAAGCAGATCTGGCACCTCAACTCTCAAGCTGACTTCCATATGCAAACATGAACTAAACAGAAGGCCTCAAACGTACTTATGTGCTTGCAAATTTAGCCAAATTCATCGGAATGCTCTGGTTTTGGAGTGACAAAACCCAAAAAACTTGTTCAGGAAGGGCTCTGAACCTCCTTCTTTCCCTGAATTGTGAAGTTTTTAGGATTCTTCCTTTCTGTTCCTTAGCGCAGCAGCACAACTGCTCAAGCACAAGCTGCCAGCCTGTTTCTTCTCCTCCACAAAGTTGCACTGCCACTGCCACGAAGAAAACGATGCAGTACATGGAAAACCCTCCCAAAGTCTCAGGAATGCAGGGAAAGTGCTCATGACACTCAAACAAGGGCAGGAGTTAAAACGTTAAAGAAGTGAATAGATTATTCAAAGGCCAGCAAATCTGCAGCTGCATTTTTAGGGGCAGGATGGGATGGTGGCTGGGAGGATGGTTCCACCCTCCACAGAGGTGCTTTAACACAGCTTGTCATTTAGGAGAAAAATGGCTCCTTTTCTGCTCCACGAAGAGAGGCATGAACCAGCTAAAAACCCAGTAAGCACCCACTGCTTCAGGGGAAGCTACACCAGGATCCAACCGAGCAAGTTCAACACAGTCCACTATAGAGCACTTTCCTGCCCCATAAACTTGCTGCAAATAGCTCCAGAGGACATTCAAATC